AGAGAGAGAGTGAGAGAGAGGGAGAGGGAAAGCGAAAGCGAGAGAGAAAGAGAGAGAGAGAGGGAGAGGGAGAGAGGATCCAGCCCTGCGCCTAACCCAAATTGGCTGGCGCCCGGCTGTCAGGCGTAAGCCTCATAAATCCGGGCGCCGGCCACGAAGCCCGTGCCCTGCCCGGAGGGCCTTCGGTGGTAACCGAAGGTTATAGACGCTCGCCCCCCCAACCGCCGACCCTCGTCACCAAAACGGGGGGACCACCGGGTCACTGATATCAACGTAATTTACAGGGTTTCGTGTGTGTGAGGTATAAAAAACACTGTGTTTTACAGGGTTTGGGGGCCCTCGGCGGCCGAGAATTTCATCTGGGCGATGTCAAAAAACCTAGGTTTTTTCATGGTTTTTGCTTTGCGGGAAGGAAAAAATCGCAAAAAGTTGTATCGGAAGATTTTTTCAACATAAATCGCCTAACATATCCTCAACATAGGCCCAAGATAGCCAACATATCCCCAACATATGCCCAACATAGCCTCCAAGATGGCTCAACATAGGGCCAACATGGGGCCAACATACGCCAACATAGGCCCAACATAGGCCCAACCTAGGCCAACATAGGCCTAACATAGGCCAACATAGGCCCAACATGGGCTCAACATGGGCCCAAGATGTGCCCAACATAGACCACATGGGCCCAACTTGGCCCAACCTAGGGCCAAGATGCGCACCAGATAGCTTAACTTTGCTCAATATAGGCCCCACCAAGGCCAACATAGGCGTGACATACGCCCCACAGACCCAAGTGGGCCGGCGCCCGGCTGTTAGGCGTAAGCCTTTAAATAATGGTTACTGATTACAGTGGCTTCAGAGGTTCGATGGGACTGGCACCCCTACATGTCATTTTAGATATGGGGTCCATATAAACCACCTAACTTGGGTTAACTTGTGCCATCTATTCATCTACTCTGAAACCACTGTAATCATCCTTTTCAGGCTCCTGACAATCCAGGACATACATGGACATACCTTCTCCTCAGGTTCGGTACGACTGGGCGCCCCCACCCTCAACCGGCGCCCGAAAGAGACTCCGTACCGTGGATAGCCCCATCGACTGCCGATGGATCAGGGGGCTGACTCACATGGATCGGACGTCCATCAGACGATGGAACAACAAGCGGGCCCGGGTCAACAACCCGGTTCAATTAGTTTGTGGAACTGACCTGAAAGTGGAGTTGATGAGCTCAACCTTGAACATGAAAGTATTTTTCCGATGAGTTGATGACCTGCACGTGGAGCTTTTCTTGCTTTCTCGCAGAAAATGCACGGGGGTTGCACCCTGCGCAGCAAGGAGGAGTTCTTGGAGAAATGACTGGTGATTTGCTGCCACAGATTCATCACCGCTGCCACCGCCCTCCCAAAGTGCGGATGGGCAACACAGGCGGTGAGCATGCAGCTTGGTTCTGATTTCTTCATTATATACCAAGCATGCAGCTTTTCATGTGATTTCTCATTTTGGTTGCCCTACGAGATTTGCTAGTTTGTGTTGTAACTATTTGGTTTGGTCACATCATTGCCGGGAACCATGGAGATGCCAAATGTTCCAGTTTTGCACCATGCAGCGACAGGATATTCGTGGGAGAAGCAGCGCCAGGACTCCTGATGTAGGGATACCAGCTGCACAGAGAAAAATACGAGATGCCCTGCGCTGTGTGATGGCAAAGACGATTGTTACCAGAGAGGCTTGTACAAAGCCACAGCTGTGATAAACCTGTTATATAGTTGGTAGACAGATTTTGTTAGGCTCCACTGGGGTCACTTTGCACCACATCCTTGGGAAGTTCGGGTCGAGCGGCGAGCTGTTTGCTTGACTCACCAGTCGTGGAATACGATTGCTCCCAGCACCCACCAGCACCACCAGCCTCTGAAAATACTGAATATACCTTGGGCCCACTCAAGTAGGCCCTTGCCGTTCCATCATGTTCCATGTTCCTACGCTGTCAACTCGATCACGCGGGAAAACCATGGAAAACCAGTTAGTTGCCTTGTTTTGCCAGCCATGTTCTTCCTATGTTGATTCGGAGTATATGGGGCTTGCCTCAGCTGTTTTCTGAGGCCCTCACTTGTCGTGGCACGATGGTGCTTGCAAGCGCTTTGCAACTCGGCACAAGGTGGCGCGGGTGGTGTGATCTTGGTACGACTGTGTGAAGCTTGAGCCCAACCCAAACAGAGAAGTGGCAAATTCTTGTGCCCAACTTCAGCCCCGGAAGTGGCCCTCAACTTGGGTCTAGGCCGAACATGGAGCATTTGGAGCCCAAGCTTGGGCCCCAACTCAAGTTGATCTTGGACCCAATTCATACCGTGAACATGGTCCAGAGTTGGTGCTCCAAGCCCGGCTGTTCGCTTCTTGTAGCATGTTCAATTGTCATGAGTCATGAATCAATTCGACTCACTGTTTGCTGAGGCCCTCTCCTGAGTGTTTTTTTTGGGTGGTCGTATGTGGTGAGTATTCAATGAATATGCTTGACATATTGGTGGAAACTGTTGAAGTGTCATGCCTGAAAAAAGGTAGAGTTGCTTATTTGCCGATCTGAATTTGATCCGCTTTTCGCTGTTGAGCACTGACTTGGGGTACGAGAAAGGAAGGATGGACAGGTGTTCCGCCCCCAAATGTCCCCTTACCCCGAGTTTTTTGGTGCGTTTTCCCGGGCAAGTCTTTTTGCCAAGATCATACCAAAGAGTAGACTTGCGTGTAATGATTGTAATGACTATCATCCAATTGCAATTGCAAGTTTCTTGACTTTGGAACTTCAACTGTTTCCAGTATATTTTCTGATTTGTCAGGACGTTTCTAGCTTTTGGATAGGACACCTGGTCGCTAGATCGCCCCCTGGGCCACCTCTCCACATCTCCCCGTGTCATCTTCAATCGCCCCTGGTCACAAGGCACGCTCAGAGGCGGGCTGGGTGGGCGCGTGGGGTGGGGGTGGGTCGTGGGGGGGGGGGCATCCATGGTGATGAGCTCCCAAGTGCCCCAGAGCAGAAAAGACTGGTGGCATCGATCGACCTTCCTCAGTCTTGCCGTAGACCTCGTGTCGAACGGGACGAATGTTACAACGTTGTGGCATCGATCGGGACCGAAGATTTAGGTCAATCAACGACAGATTTTGGTCGATCAACGTAACTAGACTTGCTCTGTCCTCTGGGCGAAGCTCTGAGGCCTCCAGCCACGCGGCTCCGGCCACGGAATGGAGCATTTTCACGTGCCCCAAAGCCCCAAAGCCCCGCCCCCGCTGAAAAAAGTGCTGCCGTTTGGTCAACTGTTTGGCCAGGGGGGGTGTACTTATTTGTTCTGACACTGAAACCTCCAAAAGGTCATGACGAAGCCCAAAATCCCTAGCTGTTTCTGCTGGAAGCGTGTGTCGAAACCCAACTGTTGTGTCTTGGGCCGACTACTGTGCATTCCGGATGAATGAATAATGATGAATGTCTCCAGGTACCTGTGTGGGGCTTTTCTCCGAGCGTTAGTCGATGTGTTTTCTTCCGTAACATCGAGTTCTATAGCTTGTGTCCTCGTTGGTGTCTTATAACACACCGCGAGAACGTTAAATATATATATATATATAAATACTAAAAAAACACCTGACGCCCCACCACATGTGCTTGGCGACTGGACCCACTTTGCGGTGGACTCACTGGACAGCAGCTGCAACTGTTTGATGCTGGACTCACTTCCACATGTGGGCGACGTGTGCATTTCTAACAAGAAGGTGGCATGCGGTCAAACTTTTGACAAGGGTTTGGGGATGTTTGGGGTTGAACATCCAAAGGTCAAGGGAGAGAAAGGAGACCGCATGTGTTTTGGACATATCAGACATGCACTCTTTTAATCTCTTTTACATGTAAGTAATGTGGCTGCCTATCGGTTCAACGTCGGTCGGCTTGACGTCTGTTAGATGGTCTGTTATCGGACCTGACCAGACCAGTGACGGGAGGATTACGTCCTTGAGCGTTATAGCCTGATGCCATTTGATGCCGGATGTCTTCCACTCACAGTACTATTGAACATGTTTAAAACAAGTTTGTGTAGCCTCACCAGAAGGAACCTGACACACCTATATATAAACATCTCCACCCCAAAAACCCACTCCTTGAATTGCCGTGAACCCAGGGCTGCTGGACTCAACGGTTGAAGCCCCCTGTCGCAGGCAGCTTGCAGCCCAGCGGCCGGACACCTCTGGCCTGAGGAGGCTGAGCTTGGCATACAACCCTGTGGGCGATGCGGGTGCGAAGGCCTTAGCTACTTGGCACCAAAAAGATGCCAAAGCAGTTTCGGTCCATCCCAAAAGCCCATAGAATGGTGAACAAGTCGCATTTGGGACATGGTCATTATTTTGGAAAATCCCATCGTGCATCCATTGAAGCCATGGCCTGAAGCCATGGCCATAGCGGTCGTGTCAGACACAGGCTGGCACAAGCACAAGCGCTTGCTCCGTGGAGTATTCTCCGGTTGAACATTGCAGCGGCCAGTTGAGTGGTTTTGCTGGGGGTCAACTCATCATGGAATGGAAGCTCGAGCTGTGGAACCTCTGGCTGGCTGATGGGATCGTATTACCTGATCTCACCTGACCTTACCTAGTCCTCAAGTTCTCAAATAGATTGGCGTCACCATATCCCATGCAGTTCCCATCTCGCCTTTTATGATTTTCCTTCTTCCTTTATCTTCTTCTTATTCGTCGCTTTCTTGGGATTCCACCAAGTGGAACATCGTGTTGGGCAAAGCAATCATCAAGGGAACATATATATATAGTATACTATAGTTGTTCTTTTTGGCCCTGGCCCTAGTTCCAAAACATATGAACATACGTCATGTTACATCAAGATGTTTGCCCGGAATCAGGTGAGGATGGTTGACCAGTGGACAACAACACAGCGAGAACAAAGAATGAATTGTTTTGCAGGTCGTTTTGCATGTCCAGCATCATCCATCACAGCAAGACGTTAGAATTGCTTGCAGCGTCCACGAATGAAGTGCTCGAACACTTTCAGTCATTGAACTGTGAAAGGGGCTTTCATTTTGGTGGATGTCTTAATGCCAAATACTTGATCTGAGAGAGCAAATGGAGAGAGGCAGGATAAATACTTTCCCAGAACTTGAAGGTAAAGCAGAGAAGTGATGAGAAGTGGATGCATCCACCAGCCCTTGGGCTGCTTAAATTCTTTACTTGTTTGTTTGCAATGTTCTTTTCCATGAACCAGATGTGTGTTCAGCAGAAAGATATGAATATCACACATTTGATTTGCTCAACAAACGATCTGAAGTGAAGCACTTTGAGGCAGAAGCCGCCACCTGTTGCCTTCAGGCGCTGAAAAACTGGAAGAACCACGGTGGATGGCATGGTTAATTTCTCTGTTTCTATGTGTTTGTCGGGTTTCTAGTGCTTGATTGCGCCGTCTTTTTCTAGTAGGGCCAAATGACTGAACACTATCTCTTGTCTGTCTGAAGATCGCCCGGTCTGAAGGCGCGGTGCACGGTGCACACCCTGAAGATAAGGACCAAAGAAATTGATTGCATTAAGAATAGATATTTATATAATATATATAATATATATATGCATACATCCGGTATCCACTCAGTAGATTCAGTAGAGGCAGGTCTGTTCTCTTGGTTTTTGTGCCAGATCCGGTGGATGCCAGGATTCTGGAAGCGTGTCCTTTCAGTGCCCTTGGGGTTTAGAGCACCTTGACTTGACCGAGACCCAGGCGCAATGGGGGGCCCAGGGGTGACAGAAAAGCGATGTGGGGAGAAGATGGGGTCCACTTGAAGAAGAAGAACAAGAAGAAAATAGACGTGAACATACGCACACGGAGTGTCCTGCACACGCACACGCCTGCGAAGGTGTAAAGACTCAAACGCCTGGGCAGACCTTGCGTCGGCCAGGTGAACGAAAGAGTTGATCAAGTCCCAGAGAATTCTCCTTCAGCTTGGCCATACATACAATAAATACAGCGGATTGGGATTGTTGGTTTTCCCAGCTGGCGCAAGATGTGGCCATCAAGAGTGTACTGCGCTTGCAGCAAAGCCAAATGGGTGCAGAGGGAAACTTGCCACGACCACGTTTGGTGAGACCTGAGGAGATTTAACCCATTTTGAGGTTCGTTTGTCAGTGGACCACAACTGTTGGCCCCATGAGAAGCTTGGCGCGGACAAGTGCCGTTTAGTTCTTCAGAAGCGGCTCAGCGGCTAAGATCAGCTAAGCGTGCACCTCCAAGAAAGGCCAAGTCGTAGGATGTCCTCGAGCGATTTCAGACTCTGACCCACTAACATGGAAGTGGAAAATAGGCCCCGGGAAGACCGCTCTATGAACAGTATATAGAGGTTTTCCGGTTGTTCATGTCAGTGAGTGGGAGTGTCAACAACGGAGTCAACATTGAGATCTGACCCTACAAGTCCAGTCTGACCCAGGTCCAAACCTGGTCAACTTGACCTCAGTAAGTGTGGGTTTTTGTATGACCATCTCCAGTAAAATGAGGTCTTTGGCTTGTACGGTGAGGTTCTTCTCCGGATCGATCCAGTTCAGCTTCCTCCGGCTCCCACCAGGTTGGCGCCCAGGGCCGGAACGCCCTGGCGGCGGCCCGTGCAGCGCGGCTGGCATTGCTGGACGCTGCGAGCCGCGAGAGATTAGGGGAGGAGATTGGGGGGGAAGATGGTCCGATGGGTCTCAAAACAAATGACACATCACCCAACACCACGATTCGTTGGGGTTCTGGAGGAAAAAATCAAAGAGAACACGTCCAAAACCGCGTTGAACGAAGAGCGCTTGTTTGGCTCAAGTTCTTCTCCAGGACCGACCACAAAGACAAGCCAGAACAATCACAGTCATCCACGGAGTCAATCTTCGCTGGGTTTCTGAGTCTAAACTGTCCAGCGGCTGGCTTTCGATCTTGAAAAATAGGGAGTTCTCCCCCCCACACAGAGAAATGCGGTTCAAAGCATGTTGAAAAGGATGTGACTTTTCTACCTACAGTAAATCTACTGATATAAGGGGTCTATATGTGACAGGTACTACTGTTTTTGGGCAGTGTTTTTGTGGAATTGGCTGGGGGAGCCAAAGATGAACCGCTGACAAGTCAACCCAAGTAGATGAAGCATCAGCTTAATTACAA